TCTATTTTGGGCATTTCGTCCGTGTATACGTGGCTTCAGCTAGTGTAAGCCCATTGTGCAAGTAGACGGAACATGGTTGTATGGAAAGTACAGAGGAACTCTATTGATGGCGATGGCATAGGATGGAAACACAAATATTTTCCCAATAGCATTCGCATTGGTCGAAGGTGAAACAAAAGAAGCATTAAGCTTTTTCCTAAGGAACCTGAGGTTACACGTGACACCACAACCTAATTTGTGCCTAATCTCTGATAGACATGAATCGATAAAGAGTGCATATAACAATCTCGAAAATGGATGGCCTCATCCACCATCTTCAAATGTCTACTGCATTAGACACATTGCGCAGAACTTCATGCGCGAGATTAAGGACAAGGAACTACGCAAAAAACTTATTAACACGGGTAACAAAATACATTTCAGCTATCTCAACTATTATATCATACTTTTACTATGTTTTTCATACCATTCCTATTACAGGTTACGCATTGACAGAGGCTACATTTAAATATTATCGCGGAGAAATCCGAAGAATAGACATTGAGGCCTCATATTGGATAGACAACATACCTAGGGAGAAGTGGGCTAGAGCATTTGACGGAGGGCAACATTGAGGATATATGACATCTAGCTTTGCAGAGGCCATGAACTCTGTACTAAAGGCAACCAGAAACCTTCCAATCACTGTTTTAGTCCAGTCTACATACTATCGAATGGGTTCCCTCTTTGGTAAACGAGGACACAAATGGACCAAAATGCTAGCTACAGGGAAAGTTTCCACAGATGGTTGCAACAAGGGAATGACTGATGAGGTAGCCAAGGCTAACACACATAATGTCATGCAATTTAATCGCGAAAGATTCTGTTTCATGGTGCAGGAAAAAGTTAATCAGAACGATGGTCGTCCGACGGGTACTTTCAGCGTTGATCTGAGGAATCGTTGGTGTGACTTTATGGAAAATTTCAAGCATTTCACTTGCCTTGCTCCCACGTGATCGCAACATGTTCTAGCATACGTCAGGACGACAACATTCACATTCCAGATGTCTTCACAGTTCTTAACGTATTCAAAGTCTACAAGGAAAGCTTCCCGGGACTACCGCACGAGGAGAACTGGCCAAAATATGAAGGTTTTACTCTATGCCACGACGATTCCATGAGAAGAAATTTGAAGGGACGTCCATACATTAGTAGGATTAGAACTGAAATGGACGGCGCTGAAAAGGAAAAGAGAAGGTGTGGGATTTGTAGAGAAATAGGCCATATGCGTAGGAAATGTCTAAATGTTGTCGGCCCGTCAAACCGACCGTCTAGATGATTTTATTTATTTTACAAGGAACTTGATTGAAAAATATTTTTCTTGCACTTGATTTCTCTGTGATCCAACATTTATTTGTAATTCAAGACAACTTTTAGATTACAACAATACTAGTATATTACAACCATAAACTTAAAATTAAAACTCAAGAAGCTAACATACACGCTAATCAACAATAACAACCAACACAAGTGGATCTTCGACTCCTCTGTTAACTTCGTCACTATGTGCTGAAAACATACATTGGACATCTTCATTATTTTCTAGAAGATCCAAGTAATACATGTACGTACCCTCCGGGCTTGCATCAATTAGCGTTATATACGGACAACGATACTCCATTTTTCTCACCTTCATGCGACGACCACCCAACTGTCGAAACCCCGTGTTAATTGCTGCAACCACAGTTCTGAAATTCCACTGAGGATCTAGGTAAACACTGATTTTTTTTTCTTGTCCATAAAAAACAAGAGTTCAGATAGAAATTTTTAAAACAGGAAACACTGAGCACTAATGATTTGTGTTGATGCACATTAATCTATTTATAGAAAAAAATTATATTTGAACTCGATTATTCAATAGCCGAGAGTCTGTAAAACTAGACAACTCATTGGACGAGTATCAATCATTTTTTAAAATACATGAAAGAAAAGAAAATTAAAATATTATATCATTCATAATTTATTTTCCTTCTAATTAAATATAATTATTATACTTAATTAAACATTATAATAACATAATATATAATATTGTTATAATAATTTTAATTAGTTTATAATTATTAAATTAATATAATAAATTTTTAATATTTAAAATTATTATTTTAATTAATTAAACATATTATAAATATAAAAGAAAAAAATAAAACTACACGTGCTCGCCATTTAAGTGGACAAACACTTTCATAAAAAAAATACTCGCCATTTGAGTGAACGAGCGTAAGATAATAATAAGAAATCCTTATTTTTTTTTTTTAAACTAAGATTGAATAGTATATATATCATTTTAATTTAGGGTAGTCCAGTAAAAAAATCTAATTTTCATATTACTTAATGGTTATTTAAATTAAGTGCACCAACAAGCAACTTAAATTCTTCTAGTATTTCTTTGGAGATAAGAAGATATTCTTTCATTAATTATCTTTCTTTTTCTATTTTACTTAATTTGTATGCTTATTATGAACAATATTGAGAATCAAGACTGTATTTTTGTTTAGCTTTTGCCCCCAGAATTTCGAAGAGGCAATAGAAAACCTGGCAATTGGAGAAAATAAATTATGCTTCACTCAACAGTTTGTTCATAGTAAGGTAGGCACCTATTATCATAATTGATGCTAAAGGTAGGCACCTATTGATCCAACACTAGTGTAATAGTTAAAACTTAGAATAAAATCTTAACTCAAGATGTTGAAGGCCAATTATTAATTTCATATTATTATTTGTGTTTGTAAAAACTGGTCCTTGCTGCAAATTTAAAGGTTGAAAAAAAGATTATGTGAGAATTAATTTGCAACAATTATGCTACTTGACTTAATGGTAAAGACAAGACAAATAATATCATAATATTTTCAAATAAGATAAAATATTAATTCCTCCATATCAAATAAAACACTAATGTAAGTTTGTAATCTTTTCAAATAAGATAGAATATCCACCATCCATATCAAATAAAACACACTCAAACATAAGTCATGATAACATAATTCAATCCTTACAAATATACAACATCAACTTAATTATTAAAAATCAAACATGGCTCTAAACTTGATAAAGTCATTTATTTCCATTTATATAGAAAATAGTGATGTAAGGAGCAACTTCATCATCCTTGAGTTGCTTTACAAATGGGCTTTTAGAGGTGATGTTTTTATAGCTCCAGTCCCCTTATAGTTGTACTCGCCAAAAAAATAGTTTTAAGTTTACAATAACATACAAAATAATTAATATTGCGATTACAACATAAACATATAAAAATTAAGGTGTAGAGAAAATCAATAAATGTGCATAATTCAATTAATTACTTATTGATTTACTGAGAATTGGTCGAGCTTGTCATTCCATTAAATAGAAATTTGTGGCTATTTCCCCATTTTAGCACAAAGGACCATCTACTAAAGCAATGTTTACAACCCTTCTAACAATTTTCTAAGAGATTTCTTAGGTTGTTCTAAGGTAAACAAAGAATGTTGCGAGAAGCATTGATTTGGAAAAGGAATATTCATTAATAATGATGATAGTGGCAACTACTAGTTGTCTTGTTCATTATTTGTTTATCTTTTAGCTTGTTTATCTTTTAGTAATTTCTCGATTTATTGTATTTTGGATCTATTTTATTATTGATAGATGTCTGTGGTAAATTCTCCCATTTGAGTGTGTCTGTTATATTGATCGAGACTCTGAATCATCAGATAAAGTTTAATTGTAAAAATTTGCATGAATTTAATTCAAATTCTCATAATTGACGTCATTATTTCATTTAAGAACCAGAATTGTTGATGGAGTGTTGAGATTGATTTTCAATGCGGTGGTACATGTATCTGATGAGACAACGTGGATATGGACCATCAAGATTAATGTTCCAACGACTAAATCAATTACTGAATTAGAAGAGAATAAAGTGAATTATATTGATAATCGTCACTACAATTTTGCGCGAGATTAAACGAAACGAACAAATATAGTTGAAGGTGTAGACTTAAAACTTAAATCCGTTTTGCAAAAAAGTGAAGACGATACACAACGGGTCTACGAGTTCTGAAATTATTTAGTCTAAAAATGCAAAAATTTCGGTTAATATTACAGACATGACTAATAAGCTGAGTATGTTTTATCATCGTTATATATATATATATATATATATATATATATATATATATATATATATATATATATATATATATATATATATATATATATATATATATATATATATATATATATATATATATATATATATATATATATATATATATATATATATATATATATATATATATATATATATATATATATATATATATATATATATATATATATATATATATATATATATATATATATATATATATATATATATATATATATATATATATATATATATATATATATATATATATATATATATATATATATCACATTCGAGTTCTTTTGCTGTATCATGGAACGTCCTAGAAGAAGTTTTTCTTTTGCTGTATCATAGAACGTCCTAGAAGAAGTATAATATACTATTATAATCATCAAATTAGTAATATAATAATGCACTAGTGATCTCTTTCAAGAAAAAAAGAGTGTAGTACTATTATTTTAACATTTAAAAACATTTGAAGAAGATACCGCGAATCTCTAATAATAATATTTAAATAATTTACTATGCTAATGCTATGATGATTTTGTTAATTGAGATGTGAAGATTAATTTTAATCTAAACAAAGTATTATTTAGAGAAACACATAATTGTTGTCGTAAGATCTTTTTAATACAACTATTATTTAAAAGGAATTACTTTTTGAGTTGGAATGGAACCCACCTACCATTAAGAAAACAATATTATTGAATTATTGACTTTAAAAAAATGACATAAATGGTTATCATTTCTTCTATAAATAACATCTTCCTCTTATCTTCTTACAAGTTTCTTACAGCTTTTGAATCAACAAAAAAGAAAGTCTCAAAAGAAAACAAAAATGAGTTACTTGAACCGTGTTTGGATGGCAACTACCGTGGCGGTGGCACAAGGTCACACTGATCCGGGTCACAAGTGCAAAAAAGCTCTCGGATCTATTCATCAAAACCGCACGCGTCTCTTCTCCGCCGGCGGTTTGTCGAATCTCCGGCCGTTGGCTGGTGTCGTTGAATCGGACGTACCCGTGAGTTCTGAAGCGGAAAAGAGGGTGAGACAAACTGACGATTCTCTCCGGAAAGTGATGTACATGAACTGCTGGGGTCAAGGCTAAAGCAGTGGCCTCAAACTCAGTGGAAATTGTTCGTACTCGCCAGAGAATTGAGTTGAATCAACCGTGTCGGATCGGATGATAGCGAGTTGACTCGATCGGAGATAAAGTTGCAACGTTTTGGCGTTCGTTATTGTAAATTAACTGTAACTAACTGTACAGTAAATCAATGGATTTTATTTTCTTATTCACTTTGAGCAAATCCCTAGTGTTATGAATTGTGACAATGATAATTTAAAAAATGCTAAAACTCAACAAAACAGCCAAACAAACTTTTACAAAACATTTTCCTGAATTCTACAACTACACAGACCCATCCCCAGTACTACCATTGAAGTAGTAAGATAGAGTAGACGTTGGTTCTTTTAAATTGTCAATGATGTTGTTTTATCTGTTGACAGTGTTTTTTAAGTTTCTGCATGGAATTTAGAGTTTTTATTTATAAGCAAATGTTAGTGATTATTTTATTTGAAAAAAAATCTTGTGCTTTGATATTTTTGAAGTAGAGGTTGATTCTTTTAAATTGTCAATGATGTTGTTTTATCTGTTGACAGTGTTTTTTGAGTTTCTGCATGGAATTTAGAGTTTTTATTTATAAGCAAATGTTAGTGATTATTTTCTTTGAAAAAAATCTTGTGCTTTGATATTCTTGGAGTAGAGGTTGGTTCTTTTAAATTGTCAATAATGTTGTTTTATCTGTTGACAGTGTTTTTTGAGTTTCTGCATGGAATTTAGAGTTTTTATTTATAAGCAAATGTTAGTGATTATTTTTTAAAAAAAAAATCTTGTGCTTTGATATTCTTGGAGTAGAGGTTGGTTCTTTTAAATTGTCAATGATGTTGTTTTATCTGTTGACAGTGTTTTTTGAGTTTCTGCATGAAATTTAGAGTTTTTATTTATAAGCAAATGTTAGTGATTATTTTCTTTGAAAAAAATCTTGTGCTTTGATATTCTTGGAGTAGAGGTTGGTTCTTTTAAATTGTCAATGATGTTGTTTTATCGGTTGACAGTGTTTTTTGAGTTTCTGCATGGAATTTAGAGTTTTTATTTATAAGCAAATGTTAGTGATTATTTTCTTTGAAAAAAATCTTGTGCTTTGATATTCTTGGAGTAGAGGTTGGTTCTTTTAAATCGTCAATGATGTTGTTTTATCTGTTGACAATGTTTTTTGAGTTTCTGCATGGAATTTAGAGTTTTTATTTATAAGCAAATGTTAGTGATTATTTTCTTTAAAAAAAATCTTGTGCTTTGATATTCTTGGAGTAGAGGTTGGTTCTTTTAAATTGTCAATGATGTTGTTTTATCTGTTGACAGTGTTTTTTGAGTTTCTGCATGGAATTTAGAGTTTTTATTTATAAGCAAATGTTAGTGATTATTTTCTTTGAAAAAAATCTTGTGCTTTGATATTCTTGGAGTAGAGGTTGGTTCTTTTAAATTGTCAATGATGTTGTTTTATCTGTTGACAGTGTTTTTTGAGTTTCTGCATGGAATTTAGAGTTTTTATTTATAAGCAAATGTTAATGATTATTTTCTTTGAAAAAATCTTGTGCTTTTTGGAGTAGAGGTTGGTTCTTTTAAATTGTCAATGATGTTTTTTTATCTGTTGGCAGTGTTTTTTGAGTTTCTGCATGGAATTTAGAGTTTTTAATTATAAGCAAATGTTAGTGATTATTTTCTTTGAAAAAAATCTTGTGCTTTGATATTCTTGTTCACCTGGGCTGATAAGAGTCTGAGCAAGGGCTGATGAGAGTCTGATATAGAGTTTTTGTTGATCAAAGAGGGAGTCACAATATTACCAGAGTTGTGGGTCTTCTAGGAGCTAAAAATTTGGATTCTCATGCAAAATTGACACGGCTGCGAGTTTTTTAAAACACTTGATGGACTGGTTGGACGACCTAACATTAAAATTGGTGTAGTGCTGGGACACCTGACTAAATGAGATTGCACTGAAGTTATTGAAATGTTCAGTAAGAATGACTAGACGAGCTAAAGTGTTCGGTTCAACATGATATGATCGTCCATACGAGTCCATAATCCACCAAGTATAAAGAATGTTAAGGTGTGGGTGTTCATTCTTCGTCAGAGTTGTGTTTATCAATCCGCAGCGTCAAACTTGTTAAAGGGGTGGACGTTTATTCTTTATTAAGTTGGTCTCAACAATCCTCTAGTCCACCAAGCGTGTAGGGTTATATTTGCGGTATTTTAAATAAGGGCGACTATATTTGTTGTGTTTTAAATAAGGACGACTCTAGCGTTCCTGTATAAGAGTGGTATCCATAGAGAATAAGATAGCCAATTTTAAAATTGATGACATGTACACTATTGTTGTTTTTCGTTACTCACACAAGGCGAACTCCGTCATAATTCCTTGAAGACTATGTAATCAACAACCTCCCCTAGTCTTAAGGGAGCGGTTGTCGCCCTTAAGGGCTCCTAAACCTTAGGTTCAAAAGGTCTTTATAAATAATTCTCTCACGGCAGGAGAAAGGCAAATCCTAATTCGTATGCTTATACCTAAGTACTCAACACATATACAAAGTCTCTCACCTCACGTGAGCAAATTCTCTAAACCACCATAAACACTATCGTCTAGTGCTTCTCGGTGTCGTGGGCAAGCTCTAACCACCACTATTTGTTAAACACTTATTAAGACCTCTGAGTGCTCCTGCCCTTACAAGGGAAACATGCACATCTATACTTTTTGATCAATACAGTGGCGCTTGTTAGAACAAGATTTGGTTCTGCATCTGTATCTCTGAGTTTTGATGATAACAAGTCAGTATTTGTGTGAGAATAATTTTGGTACCCTAATGGTTTGTTATTGTATATCTTTAGCAAACAGCTTTGATTCTGACTCTTGAACGTGAAACGTTACAATTTCTGAATATATTGATCTAAATTGCTTCTGCTCAAACTCACGGATGAGAAGTTTCTAAGGAAACCGTATGTTGTTACTGCAACGTTCTCTTGGCTCTTGCTTCTGACGTGTGACTCTGATCAATTCACTTCTGAAGACAACTCAAGTTTCCGAAGATTAAAAGCTGAAGGTTCTAAAACTCTAAAGAATCTCAAGTCAGATATTGATGTGATCAAGCTTCTAATTGATGATTGAAGTTTATGAACTCAAGCTTCTGAAGATTAAAAGCTGAAGGTTCTAAAAATTCTGAAGAATCTCAAGTCAGATATTGATGTGATCAAGCATCTGATTGATGATTGAAGTTTCTGAACTCAAGCTTCCGAAGATTAAACGCTGAAGGTTCTAAAACTCTGAAGAATCTCAAGTCAGATATTGATGTGATCAAACTTCTGATTGATGATTGAAGTTTCTGAACTCAAGCAAAATCAACTCTTCTATCTCATGCTTCAAACAATATTTTATCCAAAAGCCACTGAAGAATAGAAGATAAGAACGAGTTTATACGTGGGAAAAATAATACATAGTAAAAACCAATTTTCCTTCCACTAAGCGGATTTCGTGGAGTAAGGAAATTGAGGTAGTACGATTCTTGTCCCCTCCGTATTAAACCATTACTCAAGTCGCCAGCTCATTCATGAAGAATACCAGATATATCCTTCAACAGATCTTTTTTATTGGATATATAAAGACTTGAAGACTTGAAGAAAAAGAAGAAGAGACACATGCAAGACTGTTGTCATAGCCTGTGCTAAAGTTTTGTTTAAGTGTATTGTGTTTTTAACTTGTTTATACCTGCTTATATAGAAGCAATCTTTGTAAACACAACCTTGTAATCAAACAGTTGTTTGTATTTCCTTAAGGGGCCAGTTAGGTCAGAAACCTTGAGAAGACATAGATTGTGTGTCTTTGTGGTTTGTTAGTCACCAGCGGTTTCTAGTGCAATTGTAATCAGTTGATTATAGTGTATTAAGTCTTTAGGTATAAGGCAAAATCACCTTGGCGGGTGGACTGGATTAACCTTGAGATTTTCAAGTGAACTAGTATAAAAATTGAAGTGTATTTCTCCTTGTTGTTGAATAGTTGTGGTTTTTATTGAGTGAATAAAAAGCTTTTGTTTTTAGAAACCCAAATTCAAACCCTTCTTTATTGTGTTTTTCTCACCTTCAATTGGCATTAGAGCTCCAATTCTGATTGTTATAAAATTTTATCAAACATTTAACCGTGTTTAGTACTTATCCAGTGTGTGTGTGTGTGTGTGTGTGTGTGTGTGTGTGTGTGTGTGTGTGTGTGTGTGTGTGTGTGAGAGAGAGAGAGAGAGAGAGAGAGAGAGAGAGAGAGAGAGAGAGAGAGAGAGAGAGAGAGAGAGAGAGAGAGAGAGAGAGAGAGAGAGAGAGAGAGAGAAACAATGGTGGTTGCTTCTATTCCTGTAGAGAAAGATCATTACAGTGTCAAACAACCAGTCTTTGATGGTGACAAGTTTAACTATTGGAAAGATAGAATCGAAAGTTTCTTTCTTTCCTATGATGTAGATCTTTGGGATTTTTTTGTTGATGGCTACATACATCCTGTTAATGCTGCAGGAGAAAAAATGTCAAGAACTGCTATGACTGATCAACAAAAGAAAGATTATAAAAATCATCACAAGGCAAGAACTATACGGTTAAATACTATCTCTTATACTGAGTATGAGAAGATAACAAACAGAGATACTACCAAGTCCATTTTTGATTCTCTAAGAATGACTCATGAAGGAAACGCTCAAGTTAAGGAGGTAAAGGTGCTTGCTTTAATCCAGAGATATGAGGCATTCAGAATGGAGGATGATGAAACAGTTGAAACTATGTTTTCAAGGTTTCAAATGCTAGTTGCGGGACTCAAGGTTCTGGACAAAGGATACTCAATTGTTGACCATGTCAAAAATATTATCAGAAGCCTTCCTAAGAAGTGGAGACCTATGGTGACTGCCTTAAAACTATCTAAAGATCTGAATAGTATCAATCTTGAAGAACTTGTTAGTTCTTTGAGAAGTCACGAGATAGAGCTTAAGGGAGATGAACCTCAAAGGAAAGGAAAGTCAGTTGCTTTG